ACGCCCCCCCCATCTACCTCCCCCTGCAGGCCGGGCCGAGGGGAGGGGTCGGCTGGGAGAAGCCCTGAGAAGCACAGAGAGGGTGGGCGTCACAATGGAGGAATTAGCCCCGGAGGAGGGGGCTGCGGGGCATTGTCCTGAGGGAGGGTTTTATACTGCAGATTGGGAGAGCAACATGGAGTATTATGAAGGGAGGGGGAGATCCCTGGGGTTTTGACCCCTGCATAATTCTGGGGGAAGGGGAACAAACTACTTACCTAGAGCTCCTTGTTGTCAGCTTGATGATGGTCTGTCCCCCAGCCACACTCCTTCAGGAGGAGCAGACTTCACACACTGGGAGAGAGCCACTCCAGGGCCCCCATCTGAGGTGCTATGCTGCTCTGGTCTATAATACTCCTGTGGGACGCATCTCTGGGCAGAGGCCTCTCTGCCTCCTCTCCTCCTGGGGCTGGGATCACCCCTTGTCCTGAGTAAGAGGTTAGGCTTGCAAATAGATTACAATGACATAACTGATAAATCCCATCTTTTCAGTATCAAGTGATTAAGGCTTATGTGGAAGATGCACAGATCCATGTGTCCTGGCCCTGCTCTCCATCTCAAAGTACTTCCCTGAAGCAAGTTTCTTGGGGAGATTGTCCTGAGGGATGTCCTTAGAGCCAGTTTCTTGGAGGGAGGGAAGGTTATGCCTATATGGCCTTTGTGGGGGAGTTGAGCCCCTGGCTCCTCCTGGGATTAGTCTGTGACTCCACTGACTGCAGAAAAGTCAGGTTTGTGCCTGATATTGTGAACAAATGTTACGTGTTTGACAATCGTACTATCACTTCCTCTCCCCTTCACCCCTAGCTCCTAAGAAAATGGGTCAACCTCTCCAGATAATATATCTATAAAATGCTTTGTGAATTTCTGCACTGCCAGCCAGTTAGGAGGTCCTTCTATTTATGCACATACTGAATATGCCTTGTTTCAATTATTCATCCTGGTGCCATTGCAACTTCCTGCAGCTTGTCTCCTCCAGGGAGCTGAATGTGTAACAAGGTTTTAAAATGCTTTATCTTTGAAACTATGATCCCATCCAGCTACTTGGTAGTTGTCTGCTTGCACGCTCATAGTCCAGGTGCTAATACTTAATAATACCTGAGAAATCACTGTGACTGTGTGGAGGGAGGTTGAGGGTGGGAGTTGTAGTACATAAAGGGTGTTCATTCCATTCCCCATATTCAGTCCCAAAAAACCATGATGGGTTATGATGGGCCTGGGGCCTTGAATAAGGAACCAGATTTCTGGAACTTTGTCTGAGGACTACGGTATTCCCTCCTGGACAAATTGGTCTTTCCCAGGCATAGTTAGTCTTCGTGATGGAGAAGCTGTGGACTGACTGAACCCTAATAACACATCATGGATTATTTCTGTTTTACAGAGGAGGAGATGAGCACAGAAGTAGGAAGTGAGTCAGTGGTAAAACTGGGAACTTTATTATCTATTATGCATGTTTTACTTTGATCAACTAGCATCTGGTCACTATAATAAACTGAAACGTATTGACACTTCTAAATATCTGGACTAAATAAGCCAGACAGACCACTGCAGCCAGCTGGCTCAAGCGTAGAAGGGATGCTCTGAATAGGCAGGTAACTGAACTATGGATATTTGGGCATCTAGCAAAAGTCAAACAGTTGTATTGCAATCATTTCTAACTTCAAGTCAGGTTTGTGATTAAACATATTTCCAGAAAGGAGCAAACTCCAGCAGCTAGAGCTGTTGATTGATTTCCGACCTCTGTAAACATGCACAAAGAGGGAGAAAATATTTCTAAGGTAAAAGACTTAAACCATCTATGTCTTTTGTATTCAGTAATCAGCAACTTTAGTTTCACCTAGAAGTGCATTGGAAGCCAATACATAGCAGAAGTGTAAAGAGCTCTTAGTAATCCCCTGAGCTGTTGATGGGTGCACTAGCCAAAAACTATAAGCAGTTATACACAGGTACAGCATATTGTAGTGAACCAGCCTCAAGGTGACAAAATCATGGATAACCAAGATGAAGTGAGCATCTGAGAAATTAGAATTCAAAAGTTCTTCCTCCATCCTGTGTCTTTTTTTCTTTTCCACACTGTTTTTGTTGCAAGGTAAGAGCAGTGTTGTCCACAAAACAGTACCCTGGAACCCGCTTAGGGTATGTCTACACAGCAGCGTTATTTCGGAATAACTGATATTCTGAAATAACAAAGAGCATGTCTGCACTACAAGCCTTTATTTCAAAATAATGTCAAGCTGGAAGACTTCTTACTGACTCCTGTAACCATCATTTTACAAGGAGCAAGGGAAGTTGAAGGAAGAGTGCTGTGCAGACAGCACTTACAGGCGAGTTAAACTACTTTGACTTATGCTATGCAATTGATTTAGCTGCAGCTGCATAGCTTAAGTCGACTTGAGCCCTACTGTGTAGATGTACTCTTAGTCTCCTCTTTGACAGGGATTTGATGCCAGATGCTGAGGTCTTAATATTCAGAGTTACTGTAATTTTTTCCTGAAAACCTCAAATCCTTTTAATGTTTCAGTCTGATTTCTAACATGAGTTGCACGTTATCACCCTGGTGCAAAGTCCTCCCCTGTTGGGTCAAATCCTCACTGCACTAGAATTAAAGCTTGTTCCATGGCCTAAAAGGGCAGGTTTATGGTGTTCTAAAGATCAGGATTATGGCTTGACAAGCTAACGTTCCATTATTCATTGTTCAAACAGAGCCTAACTGAGCTGTTATGTTTTCCCCAACTCAGACAGCAGATTGTTGTCCAAGAGTTTAGTCTAGATCCCATTACATAGATCTCATAAATCCCTTGGTTTTTTATTCATCTGTTGTGAATCCAATTCCCAATTGACTTAGTCTAGTAACATACAGCTTCCCTGCCCTCCCCCCATACTCTTGTCAATGTGTCACCTAAAGTGCTCTGTTGCCCCCATCCATCCACTGTAGATTGCTCATTTCTTCCAGTCAGGTTAGA